ATTATGGTTGGTTTTCGTTTTTTTAAAAAGTACTCTAAACTATATAAATAATGTAAAATTAAATTGAATTTATTAGCAAATCAGACAACTTCTGCCTATGAAGCGCAGCATGTCAAAATCAGCAATAAATCGGAGAACAAATATTTTCGTAACATATAATTGGATTATCACGATTATCATTTTATCTAGTACAAGCACTTAAGCGCGCATCATGCGCACGCATGCATGGCATGATACTGCGGTTGTCCATCTCTATAATACTTAATAATGATTATACCCTTTAACTGCGAACTATTTCTTGATCTATTTCGCCCAATGAGAAATGGATCAATGGAGAAATTGCTGTATATTATCGACAAGAAACAGCCTCGAATAAAGGTATTTTTAAGCCGAAAATTTGACGTTTGTTATGCTTTACTGATAAAATTGGACAAGAATATAAGCAACATCTTTAGCTCAAAAAAATACTCATTTTATTCACGTGAAAGAAATTATCATTCCAAATAAGGGGTCAGCTAAAGCGGAGTCAATATATGATCTACATACTACATAGATTACATTCTTGATATCTATATAACCTACCAAATAAGGGTTAATCTTAATAAGGGTTTCACAAACTGTAACGCGAGATCATTTTTGTCGATCAACCAATAAAATAAAACTTACCAATGCACCTCTCGTGACTCTTCATGTTTCTATAGTTTTATATCCCGCTTTAGCAGAAATGGTTAGGACAAAGGGTAACAAATGTAATGAATGTAAAAAACCGATTCCCAAATTATCCAGGGAAACTATAAGAGAGATTTTCAAGAATCTAGTGGATCAAGATCTCTGGGTATGCCTTCGAGTTTGTCGAGAATGGTTCGAAATCGGTGTAAAAATTTTGTGGGAAGATCCATTGTCATGGGGATATCCGGTTATCAACGTTTATACTGATTTCCTTAATGCCGAACAAAGGAAATCGTTAAAGAATGCAAAAATTACTCTTCCTAAGTTGCACAATCCTATGGATGATTACTCTCTTTATATAAAGAAATTCAATCTATCTGAATTACACGACGCGATTTTTACTTGGCTTCTTCATACGGAAAACATTGATGAAAAATATCGGGGCCTATTTAAAGGAAACTTTAATGCTAAAGCGGCAGAAAAAGATGAAGCTACGAAACCAATAATGAAAATGATGACTTTAATGATTTCTCACATAATTAAACTGCTTTTTAACTCGACTCAAGGTTTAGATATGTTAGACATGTCCATTAACCACCTAAGCATTGGAATCCCAGCTGATATAGTGAAATCTGCTGAAGCAATGAAAAGAGCATTCACAGATTTAACTTGGCTTAGAGTTCACACAAATTTTTCAAGCAAGTTGATTTCTGATGATCGGCTAGAAACTGCGTTAAAAATTTTCAATAAGATGGTAGAGCTTTGTCATAAAGTAGAGTATTTGGATGTTAAATACCAATACGCAGATAACGATAAAAACGATAAACACGATAAAAACGATAAAAAAATAATCTCAAAGTTGGTGAATGTACAACAGAAACTCAAACATTTCACCATTCGACGCTCTGATCTTTGGTTTAACCTTATGGTTTCCATAGGAGAACATGCCGCTCATACACTAGTATCATTTAATTTGTCTGGAATTTCATTGTCACCACAACAACTTCAACCATTAACGCGTTGCACTCAATTGTTGACATTGAGTTTTGTTCGATGTATGGACATTAAACAGACTGGAAAAAACAAAAACAAGAATGGTATAGTACGAGATGATGTCACACCTACATTTGTAGATAGTAGTGGACTATTCTTTCATAGTGTCAAAAAGATGTACTTATACAAAAATAAAATTTCACCAGAAGCTCTTACATCACTTATCAGGATGACTATCAACCTCGAAGAGTTAATCATAGTTAATAATAATACAGAAACGATTATTAAAGCAATATCTCATTATTGCGGTAACATTAACTACTTGGCGTTAACTCTATATTCTGATACTACATTTTTTGCATTAATGGATTGGCTCTCATTTTCACATTTGAAAACTTTAGTATTGGGTACTCATCATTCAAAAATTCTTAACTTCAAAGACCGTCCAAACCAATCGCTTGGTTCAATGCTTTATGAGATTGGTGATCAACTTCCTCTTTCATTAACAAGGTTTGATGTGGATTTTGAAGTTACACCTCAACAACTTGACATCTTTTTGCAGCGTAGTAATTATGTCTTTGAGGAATTGGGGTTACATCAATCATCTGGACTAAAAGATGATCATTTGAAAGTACTTATGAATCATGCAAAAGTGTCTGTAAGGCTTCGAAAAGTCACTTTTGATAGAATATATTGGAGTAGTCCGGATGATGATTTGGAAAATCAGATCTCATTCGAAGGAAGTTTACTTGAAAAGTCATCATTCTCTCCAAAAACATTGAGTGAAGCGGAAAGCTACATAAATACAATTAATTCCACCTCATTCGATCCATTTATAGATCCTTTACAAGAAATTTTTAGAACTGATAATATTGAGACGATGGATACAGAAGATTTAAATAGTGATGCGTGACAAAATTATTAAATCAATGATAGTTTTCAAGATATTTCAAGATATGTGGGTAATTTAATGATAATTTTAATGTTGGAAGGGTTTTTTCTTTGTTAGGATCTATTTTTTGGTTACTAACCCGATGTGGGTATAAAACCTTTAGCGATGTGTTCTTGTAAATAAAATAGATAAGGTCGGTCATCTGTTTGGAATAATATCGACCTACAAAAATAAATACAAAAGTACCATAAGGGCAAGTGAATTAATTATTGAATGTTATTAATATTCTTAAAAAATGAACATCATTTTGTTTCTTCTACCTTGTACAAAGATGCCAACGGAATCTTATCTGGAAATCTCGTATATTTAACCAAATTTATTTTGTAACAAATATGATTGTTTTTTTTAGCGTATTTTATTTATTTAATGTGGTGATTTATGCTGAGATTTGAGGTCTTTATCTAAAATCTACGAAGTCTATATATACATATATATACTGTATTAAGAATACCAATCCTAAATTTTGACCTAACTATGAAAAAAAATAACCAAGAAATTTTACAACTCCATAATAAAGTAGGTCAAAATCTCAGTATCAGTTACCACACTATTATAATACGTAGAATTGAACCTAGATACAGTCTAATACATATTGACTAATTGAATATACTGATAATAAAAAATATCTTTGATAACCATATTTACTATCAGGGGTACCGAAAATTTAATTGCAATTAAATTATTCAGTTAAATTGTTACAAATAAAACAATTGCAATTGCTACATAATAAAAAGTTCGAAAAAAAACTAGGTAAAATTTCATTAGCTTAAAAAAATGTATCGTATACTATTAGAGTCGGATCCCGAAACCTATTTTCTCAGACCGAAAGGTTTAGGGTTTCGGTTATAAGTTGCGAAACCCTAAACTAGTGCGAAATCCCAAATTGTTGTTGAAATCTCAAGCTGATGCTAAAATTCCTAACTGGTTGCCGAAATCCAAAACTTTTGCTGAATCTAAGACCAGTACAGAAATCCCAAACTAGTACCTAAATTCCAAATCAATGTTGAAACTCTAAAACTAGCATAATTTTCTCGAAATCTAAACCAATACCTAAATCTTAAATCAGTGCTGAAATCCTGAATCAATAAGTTAATACTGAAGTTTAATATTAAAATATATTATATGAGTTAGCATATATAAATATTTGGTTGGAATTTGGTATTATTTTTGGATTTCAGCACCAGTTTGGAATTTTGGCATCAGTTTGGAATTTTAGAATTAGTTTGAGATTTGGAGTTCACTTTATGATTTAGTGTTTGGGGTTTAGGCAAAAATTATTGTATAAAAATTAGTTAATTTTTTTTTTAACTATCCCCGATGCATTACATCATGGGGCGTGTGTGATGCTCTAAATTTCTTTATTAACTTTAATGTTTGAAACCTACAGGTTTATATATTTAGTTGCTATGTACATCACCAGTGGTGTTCTCTAACCCCACCATATTACATTATTAACAAGTTTATCACTATTGTGATAACTCGGGTCCCTGGCCTCATGGTGTAGGACTCCTTACTCGAGTCCGCAGTTCCCTATCAACAATGGTCCTTTCAGGTTCTGTCTCCTTATCTCTATTGCCTTTTATGATAATTTTCTAATCTGGGATCCTTATATTATCGATGTTTCTTGTTAGATTATCTCCTTATCTGAGCATTATGTAATCCTGTGGCTATGTCACTTAACTTGTCTTGCTGTAGTACTTTGTTCGAAATTGGAAGTAGGCAATCCTCATAGATCATTCATTCTTATAATATTCTTGTTCAGAAGTAGAAGCAAGAAATTCTTTTTAAGAACATAACAATCATGATCTCAACACAGTTTTTTCCTTCAATTGAAATTGAACTAACAATCTTGCGAATGTGACCTAGGAGTGCTAACCACTACACTATTGACCTGCAGATCTAAATTAGTTAATTTTATATCTTAAAGGATTTAAAAAAGTTTTTTAAAGTATCTAAATTAAAAGATTTTTTCAATTTATATAGTAATGTTTTACAAGTTAAAATAAGTAGCTTACTACATTAAATATAAAAAAATAAAATTTATTTTATTCTTCTAATTTGTGTTTATTTACAATTTGGTTTTTTATAGTCAAAAGATTTTTTTCTATAATTAGTTATTCAATAACAAATGTTTTAAGTTATTGCTCTTTATCTTTTAAATTATAGACTATTTCTAGACAAATTTGCCTGAAAAATTAACAAAAATATATTTATGATTTATATATATATATTTTTTTTTTTATTTTTTTTGCTCTTAAGCAGCCACACTAGTACTTTATTAAGATTTTTGTAACTATATACAATAACTACATAGAATTTTCCCAATAACTAAGTCCAGCATTACCCAGCCACCTTATTGGTACCTAAGTGCAACTTGCCGCACTATTCCAGTTAGAGATAGACTGCTTATCTGGCTACTTAAAGCCATACCAGAAGGGATTTCTCTCTTCTAGGACAAGCATTAACTGTCTTCAATGCTTTCTTTAAATTCTTCCTTCTTCTCAAAGTGCCGAAAAAAGAGAGGTATTATAAAATTGAATACAAATAAGAAAACAACTAAAAAACCAAAAGTAAACAAACAAAACCCAAATCAAAACAAAA